TCCAGATTACATGGAAGGCACCACAGCCTGGAGGTTATGAACAGACTGTGGATCAAGCAGCCTGCTTCCCATTTTGGCTCCACCACTACTAGTCTCAGGACCTCAAGCCAACTAGTTAACATCTCAGTGCCTCAGTTTCCCCAAAGGTAAAATGAGTACAAAATGCTACCTACCTCTCAGGGGTTGTTGTGAAGAGTAAATGAGCCTACTTATAAAGCACTTAGTGCTTGGCATGTAAGAAGGGCTCAATAAAGGTCAGCTACAGGTGGCTATACATAAGGCTGCATAGAGGGTGATTGCTTATTACTGGATTTACAAGACAGTTACCAACCAAGTGGCCAGTTGCCATCTGTTAAACATGCAGTGGTCTAATAAAATTTAATCAGTGAGTATCTGAGCATGCACTTAGTGTAGCACTCTGTATGAAGATTCTCCAGTGAAACAGGTAGTCTGGAACTCAAGTTCCAGGTCAAACTCAAACAATGAAGTTGAGAGAGAAAGGGGGTCTAAAAAGAACAGGAGAAACCAAAAGCTTCTGAGGTAATAAAAGCATAAAGCCCCCAAAAGAAGCTAGATTTGCAGCAAACCCAATTAGCACAGTTTTGTGACTTCAGCAAATCAGGGACAGGGAAGCCTAATTAGTAGACTTTACCTAAGCCTGGGAATTGGCCTGAGAAAAGTAGTCCAGGTAAGCATCTAGAGACCACATGGAGTCAGACTAATGATGACACAGAACTGAGCGGAATTATGGAACTGACCAACGCAAGGAGAAAACTGGAGCACAAGATCCAAGGATCACCTGTGGAGCTTTTTTAAATGCACAAATTCATGCTCCAGAGATTCTCCAGGTCAGAGACAGAGCCCAGATGATTGTATTTTTAAATATCACTGGTGATTCTGATGCATACCCCACACTAAAAGTAGGAGCACAACAGTAGAATAAATAGAATAAGTGATTAAAAGCTGATTAAGTAAAAAAAAAAAAAAGCTGATTAAGTTAGGAAAAAACTTCAAAGTTTGAGATCATGAACATGGAACAAGTTTCAGTGAAAGGTTCAAAGTGTATAAAGGTCACTGGAATTTGCGGGGTACTGGGATACTACAGAACCACAAGGCCAGCAACAAGGTTAAAAGAGAATTTGCATCATGTAATCTCATCTAAGGGTGAGAGCAATGGGTCTCAATCTTGACTGCACATTAGGATAACCTGAGATTTTATTTTATTTTATTAGATTTTATTTATTTGTTCATGACACCCCTGGCCGAGGGCGGCACTAAACCCCTGGACCACTGGGGCTGCCCAGGATCACCTGAGCTTTTAAATCTGATGCCCAGGTCAAACCTCAAACTGTAGGAAAGAGATCCAGGCTCCAGTATGATTTAAAGCTCCCGTGACTCCCCAAATTGGAGAAACATGGAGCTAGAAAGGTTCCAAGAAAACACCAGGTGACCAGAATGAGGAAAAACATAAGGCAATCTAGCTCAGTGCTCTCCAACCCCGTGTTTATCAAAATCACTTGGAAAGCAAGCTATGGTTCTACAGGATCACCAAATTCCCCAGGTAATTCTGATACATACCAAAGTTAGAGAACCATCACTCTAAACAACTGGAGATAACTCCAAAGGAGAAACTGAGAACTATGAACCCCAGGGCAATAACCGAGAAGGGCATTTCTACCTCATTCAGCCTGATGAATATAAACTTTTAATACACGAAGCTATAATGAACACAGGAGTCTATATACTAAACGTTACCAGAACCAATAAGCCTATCAAAGGTCTAGCAGTAAAACTAGGGCATCAGAGACTAAACATAGGATACTTATGACCCAGCCATCCTTCACCTCAGAAGACATCCTTCTAAAACACTCAGGTCTGGGACGCCTGGCTGGTTCAGTCCGTGGAGCAGACGACTCTTGACCTCAGAGTCAGGAGTTCAAGCCCCATATTGGGTGTGGAGCCTACTTAAACTCACTCAGGTCTGGATCCTTGGTGGACAATATAAAGAAGGCATGCATTGCCACCTGCCTTTCAGAATTAAAGACTTAAATCTTTAGGAATCTAGAAGTGTTATAAACACACCAATCAGAGTATAACTCCAAAATTCTCATAACCGTACAGAAAGAAACCTCAAGACATTATAGTTATATTTGGCAGGTCTGAACCTGGTATTTCACATAACAGCCAATTATGCAACTACATGTAAGTTTTACTAGTCAGTGTTGCACTTTTCTCCCAAATTATCAAGAGCAAGCCTAACCACATGAAACACCATTAGAAGAAAAACAAAGAGAAATTAGTAAATGCTTTACCTAGTTACACAGTAATATGGTCCTTACAACCAGTTCCAGCTTCCTGTTAAGTATTCCATTTAGAATGTTACATTTTATCTGATAAGATTCAAGAGAATATATTCCCTTGCATATGACCAACTCATCATCCCATCAGAAATCTCTATAGCAGCACCAGAATTTTCATTTTCAAGATACATGAGCTTTTGTCAAATGGTGACATCTCCCCAGTAATATGAATTTTCAATATGATATAAAAAATGATGGATATATTACACATTTCACAGAGCACAGAGAACAGAAGCCTGTCAATGAATTTAAAATTTGTGACAACCCATTTGAAATTTTACACTAAAAGACCTGTACACTTTCATAAACCATATAAATGTAAAACAGGTACCAATGTTTTCCCTTGCAACAAGGAATAAAATATTTCTAACAAAGTTTAACTGTCGCCTTAGTGCATTTTAATTATGTATTTTCATTAGCATTACAGCTGTAAAAATGGGACACATTTTTCAGTCTTAGGAGTGCAACTGATGACTTGGAATTCTTGTACTATACTTCAAACCCCCAAATTTCCCCACCACAACCATTTGAACTTGTGCACAAATCTTCAAATAAATGTACAGGGCTTACTGCAAAGTGCAAGTCACTGTTTAAAAAAAGGGGAAAAAAAAACAAGGAAAACAGTAATAAACACCATTTCTATTTTAAAAGTCAGCCCTAAGTGATGTAGATTTCTTCATCCGAACCTGTCTGGCTTCTCTAGCAATCTACAGATCCCATTTTACAAAATGACTTAATAAACGCTTTTCTACCCAAGTCAGTTATTAGGTAAAAAGCGCGCGCGCGCGCGCGCGCGCACACACACACACACACACACACACACGAGTGAAATGAAAATTTTCCTAGCTATGGAGTTTACCAGAAACATGGCAATTTGTTTTCACGCGGCAACACACGAAAGCCGGTGCCAGGAGAGCCCCGGGGAGGGGTCGGGGAGGCCCACGATTTAGATACCCTGAGGTCAGCATCCGCAGGAGAACCGTGCGTGAGTTGCTCCACCAGCCGGGGACGGTTGTGAGTTCACGCCTCGTAGCCCTGAGTGCATCCCAACTGTTACACGTCCCCCGGTGGACACCGCGCACAGCTAATTTAAGTTCAGGGCGCTGGTGGCCGGCAATGCGAGCTCCTACGCGGGGCGGCGGCGTTCCGCGGACGCCGCTAAGGGACACCGAGGCCACCAGCAGCAGGGGTACGCCCCCCCGCGTTACACACCTCCCCGGAAGGACGCGCCTAGGGACCCGCGGTTCGGCCCTCGGCTCCCAGCGTTACGCTCTACCGAAGAGCCAACCTGGGCGGAAACGGAGGTTCACGGCCAGAGGGTCTCTAACAGGACCTGGACTGAGGGGCAAGCTCCCCCGGCGGCCGGCCGGTCCTCGGCGCCGCGGGCTGCGCTGCCCCTTGGAGGCCCCCCTGCGCCCTCGCCGGGAGCCCAGGAGGGGGACAAAGTGGTGGGCACTGGAAGTTTTGCTCCCGGCTGTCTACAACACAACCCCCGCCCCCTCCTCAGCCTCCCCCTCAGGGCCTCTCCTCAGCCTGTCCTCCTCAGGCCCCCTCCTCATCCTCCTGTCCTCTTCAGGCCGTCCTCCTCAGCCTCCCCCCTCAGTCTGTCCTCCTCAGCCTCTCCTCCTCAGCCTCCCCCTCGTCCCCCTCCTCAGCCTCCCCCCTCCACCTGTCCTCCTCAGCCTCTCCTCCTCAGCCTCCCCTCAGCCTCCCCCCCTTCACCTGTCCTCCTCAGCCTCTCCTCCTCAGCCTCCCCTCAGTCTCCCCCCTCCACCTGTCCTCCTCAGCCTCCCCCCCCTCAGTACCCTTCCTCAACCTGTCCTCAGCCTCTCCTCCTCAGCCTCCCCCCCTCCACCTGTCCTCCTCAGCCTCCTCCCCCCCTTCACCTGTCCTCCTCAGCCTCTCCTCCTCAGCCTCCCCTCAGTCTCCCCCCTCCACCTGTCCTCCTCAGCCTCCCCCCCCTCAGTACCCTTCCTCAACCTGTCCTCAGCCTCTCCTCCTCAGCCTCCCCCCTCCACCTGTCCTCCTCAGCCTCTCCCCCCTCCACCTGTCCTCCTCAGCCTCCCCCCTCCACCTCTCCTCCTCAGCCTCCCCCCTCCACCTGTCCTCCTCAGCCTGCCCCCCTCAGTACCCCTCCTCAACCTGTCCTCAGCCTCTCCTCCTCAGCCTCCCCCCTCACCTGTCCTCCTCAGCCTCCCCCCTCCACCTGTCCTCCTCAGCCTCCCCCTCCACCTCTCCTCCTCAGCCTCCCCCCTCCACCTGTCCTCCTCAGCCTCCCCCCCTCAGTACCCCTCCTCAACCTGTCCCCAGCCTCTCCTCCTCAGCCTCCCCCCCCATCCTGTCCTCCTCAGCCTCCCCCCCTCATCCTGTCTCCTCAGCCTCCCCCCCCCCCGCCTCCCGCCGCGACAGTGCGGGGTCGGGACCTGGGCAGGACCCGACGCGCGCCGCGCCCCAGAGGTCCCGAGGAGACGCCGGCCGGCTGGGTGCGCGCCCGCGGGGGACGCCGGGCTCCGACGAGCGGCGGGGGCCCCGCTGCTCCGCTCCCGCCGGCGCCCGGCCCCGCTGCGTCAAGCCAGCCTCCCGCCCCGCGGCCCCGACGGCTCGGGCTCGCCCCGGCCCCGCGCCCCGACCCGCGCCTACCTTGAGCCAGCGCCCGGAGCAAGTGCAGCTGCAGCGCCAGGAGCGCCCACCATCCGCGCCGCCGGCCCGCGCTCAACTTTGTCGCCGGCCGCCCGCCGCGCTCCCCCGCGTCCCGGCCGGGGCTCTCGGGCGCCGCGCGGGCTCCCCGGGGCCGCCGCCGCCGCCGCTGCTCGGGGTCGGGCGAGGACCCCCGCGGCCGCCCCGGGCCCGCCGCGCCCCCGCCGCCGCCGCCGCCGCCGCCGCCCCGGGCCATGCTGAGGAGGAGCCGCCGCCGCCGCCGCCGCCGCCGCCGCCGCCGCCGCCGCCGCCGCCGCCGCCGCCGCCCGTGCCCGGCCTCGGGCCCCGCGAGCGGGACGGGCGGGCGGTGGCCGCCGGCCGAGCGGCAAGGTGCGGGGTCCGCGGGCGGCGGAGGGGCGCGGCGAAGTTGTCAGCGGGAGAAATTCCCGTCACGCTGCCCCCAGCGCCCCCGCCGCTGGGGCACCCCTGCCGCCGCGTCTCCGGGAGGGTCCGGCGGGCGCTGAGGAGGAGACGCCGCCGCCGCCGCCGCCGCCCCCGCCCGGCGCTGAGGAGAAAGTGCGCCCGCCCGCGCGCCGGCGCTCGCCCTCCGCCGCCGCCGCGCCCCATTCACAGCCCGGCCGCACGCGCCGCCCGCCCGCGCCCGCCGCCGCCGCTGATTGGCCGCGGGGAGGCGGCTCGCGGGCCTCGCGCCCCGCCCCCACGCCCTCGCCTGTTTTCAAACTCGCCGCGCCCGCCCGCCTGGAATTTCGCGCCGGGCCGCCGGCTCGCCTCTGCGGCTTCCCGCGCCGGCTGCGCCCCCTAGGGACGCGCGGCGCGCACTGCAGGCCAGCGCGGTCCCGGCGCGCGCTGGGCGCACCGCTCGGGCGGGGGCTGCGCGGGCTGCGGGGGCGGCGGCGGCGGCGGCGGGGGCGGCGGCGGGGGCGGGGCGGCCTGCCGCGCGGGGCGTGCGGGCGCGCAGGTGGGCTGGCGGCGCGGTGCGGCGGGCGGGAGCAGGTGGGCGCGCCCCTCCCGGCGCCCCTTCCCCGGGGCCCGCCCGCCCGGGCGGGGGCAGTGGGGGTTCGGGTGGTTACGCGCCAAGTTGCCGTGGCCGCAGACGGGAAACACGCGCGGCCGGGGGTTCAGCTCTTAGCCACAAAAGGCACGGCTGGGTGTAGCCCCGCCGCCTGTTGCCAGCGGTGGACGCCGGCTTCCGAGAGGCGAGGCGTCCAAGGTCATGCGTGGCCTGCGGGGCCCACAGCGCCGGCCGCTCCCCGCACAGGGCAGGCAGGGTCGTGTCTGGGAAGGAAGGGCCTCCTGGGGGAGGGAAGCTCTTAGGGGAGGGGGCCCTTATGGGGAGGGTCCTCTAGCTGGAAGGGCCCCCTACGGAGTTCTCCAAACGGGGAAGAACCTAGGGCCCCCTAGGGAGAAGGATCCCTTGGGAGCGAGGGTCTCCCTGCGCCAGGCCTGGGGAGCCCGCGAAAGGGGCATATAGGGCGGGGCGCCCCAGCTCAGCCGCATGTGGTAAGCATTAGCAGAGTTTATGGGGTGAGCTAAGAGCTCTGGAGGCTCGGAGGCCAGTGCTTTTGTGGGAGGAGGCCTGGAAGGTGACACACAGCCTGATGCTGTTGGCGGTTGGCCTGGAGGAGCCCCGGGGCATGTGATGATGGAGATCTGGTAAGTGGTGATGGCAGCGGGACAGGGCGTGCGCGCCTCGCTCCAAGCCGGATCCCCAAGAAGCTCTGGGTGCAGGTTTGCTGCGTTTGCTCCGTGCACTGCCTCATGCGAGGTTAGGGCAGAGCGGGGTCTGTCTTCCAGGTTCCTGCTAGGGAGCTAGGTCCTGCTGCCGGAGCACCTACTGTGTGCACTGTCCACCCTCATTAAGTCTCAAGAATGAGCATGTGAAGGAAAGATGGCGAAACTGAGGCCCAAGGGCAGTAGCCAAATGGTAGAGGTGGCCTCTGACCTAGATCCGTTCCCAGGGTTCTGCCTCCTTCCCACGCCATGCACGGAGGGCCAGAAGAGGGAGAAGCAACCCAAAGGGGGCTGTTCTTAGGGATCCCTGGGTGGCTCAGCGGTTTAGCGCCTGCCTTTGGCCCCGGGTGTGATCCTGGAGTCCCTGAATCGAGTCCCATGTTGGGCTCCCTGCATGGAGCCTGCTTCTCCCTCTGCCTGTGTCTCTGCCTCTCTGTGTGTGTCTCTCATAAATAAATAAATAAAATCTTTAAAAGAGAGAGAGAGAGAGGTGGCTGTTCTTGAGAACATAGGGAAGCACCTGCCTGACAGAGCACAGAGGCGCCCTTTGAGCAGGTGCATGAGACTGGGAGGGGGCGTGTCTATGTTTATTTTCCATTGCAACAGCCCTGGGTCTTTTCTAACCCCCTGGGCTATATGGGAGCCTAGGGGAGAAATAATACCTACTGTGCACTGAGCACTTACTGTGGGCCAGCCCTGAGCAGGAACATCATGACACTAATCACCACCACTACCCTGCCCCTGTGTGAGAGTTGCTGTCACTAGTACAGCTGGGGACACAATGGCTAAAAGAGGTGAAGCTGCTTTGCTGGGAGATTGGGATAAGGGGTAAAAGTGGAGCTGAGGGCTTTGAGGTCCTAGTCTCCCTAGTTGTGAAATCTGGGCAAATTGCTGACTCTAAATTCCCGTAAAAAGTTAGAAATAATTCCCATCTCACAGGGTTGCCACAAGGGAATGAGATAATTCACACTCACTAAATGGTAGTTTCCTGTTCCTCATACCAACTTGGCAGTGCTGTCCCAAACTAGCCTTGCTCTGCACACCAGTTAAGTCCAATCCATATTTAACCTTTTCCTTTCAAATAGAAATATATGCCCATTATTTTCCTTGCAAATAGTGAGCCACGCCCATATGCCCTTACAGCAGAGGCATGAAGAGGCAACTTCTTGACTTCAGGACACTTAAAAAAATGTCCAGAGCTTCTTTTGCTACAATTTATTTTGCAATTCAGAGAAGGTTTTGTGGAAATTTTTTTGGAAATTGGAAAACCTAAGCCAGTATACAATAGGTTGTAAGAGGAGCATTGGTATCACTGCTACCCCCAAAGGTCCTCCAATTGTTTATTTCAGTATCATCCTGGGTCAGTGGGCCTCTAACTTCGCCTCATCTCACAGTTACAGGGACTAAGCTAGGGCAGTTTAACATACAGCAAGTAACCATGTTAAAGCCAGAGTAGGAATCAAGCCCTCCTGAGTACTTAATTCTACGATTTTTTCCCCCCACCAAACGATGTTGCCTTTTACATGCCTCATTAAATGACGGTCTTAGGGGTGTGTGAATAGGATGCAGCTATTCATTATAAAAAAAATAATAATGCAGAGAAGCCCCTTTATAATCCTGAGAAGAGGACTAGCCAGCAAAGAGCTGGAATATTTCTACCTAAAACAGCCAAGTAATCTATCCATTTAATTTTATCCAGCCCAAAAAGTTCTCAAGGAGAGAACACTTCATCCTTATATACTTACCTTTAAAAATCTATAGCCACAAATATAAAAAAATAAAGAAAATTAAAATCTTTAGCCATATATTCTAAAAGACCATAAGATGGAGGGATTTTACTGACTTAAGATTTTACCCAGAACTGACTTGACTTTTCTTTTAAAAATGAGCTGTGGCTATCTCCTACTTTCCAGAGCAAAAGTTAGGATTTCCCCTGCTTAATTAAAAAGAGAGAGAGTTTTCAAGTGATCATTTCAGTGGAGTTAGAACTGCCAGTGAGGCCACTTCCCCATTGTCATAACCTAAAGCTACGCTTCTCCAGGTGTGGTTTACCGGCCAACAGCCTCACCTCAGAACTGATTCAAAACATAGCATCTCAGGCCCCTGCAGGAGCTACTGAATCTGACTCATCTGACTCTACATTTTAGTAAGGTCTCAAAGTGATTTGTATATTTTAAAAAAAGTGATTTGTATATAAATTAAAGCTTGAGAATCACTCCATATCTCCTGAGTATTGAATAAACATAAATACAGCTCTCTTTTCTGTTCTCTTCCTGTCTTCATTTTCCTTTTGCTTCATTCTGTCCTTTTTTTCTCATCCTTTGCTCTTAATAAGCCATAAGATAAAGAGAGAAACTTTTTAAACTGATAGAATTATGATTTTTTTATTTTAAAAGGAAATATGCAACTTCAGAGAACACCAACAGACTCTATACAAATTAAAAACTAAGAACATCTGTATGGCACTGGGGAAAAAATGTTGAGAAGCAGCAAAAAAAAAGTATTAATCTCTCTACATATAAATAGCTTCTGTAAGTCAATAAGAAAAATAGATACAATAGAATAATCCCTGTAGAAAGAGGGGCAAAGAACTGAACAGGCAAGTCAGGGAGAAATACAAAGGGGAAAAAAATGTGTTTGAAGAATACCCAAAGACATTGATCCAAGAAATGCAAATTTAAAGTAACAGGGCTTATAAAAAATGTTAAAGCACTGAGAAGTGTTACTGAGGGTATATGGAAATGGACACTGATACTATTGGTGGAAATATAAATTGACAACCTTTCTGGAGGGAAACCTGCAACTCGTAGCTAAATCTTAAATACAAATTGCCTTTGGTCTAGCCATTCCACCTCACAAACACAGAGATATATGTCCAAGGTTGTCCATTGCAGGATTGCTAATAATAGCAAAAAACAGGAAGCATCTAGGAAGGTTTAAGTACAATATGGTACATCCACACAATAAAACTTCATATGACTGTTAATGAAGTAGAGTTAGAAGCCTTGATGCAGAAATGTTCACTATATTCAGTTTTTTCTTTTAAAGTTAGAAAAGTATATATAGAATACACCCATTTATGTTTATTTTTTTCTGTAAGGATGCAAGCCAAACTTTAATAAAATGTCCTTCAGGGGACATGGAATTGTATGCTCTTCTGTACTTCCTAAATTTTCAAATGTGAATTGTATTTTTTGATAAAAAAAAAATAAACTAATGGAGTTAGTTTAAGCAAATGGTGATAAGCCTAAGTCCTTTCTAACCTACAACTCATTAAGAAATATCCCTTATGGGTTCTCAGTGGTTCTTCTGAGAAAAATATTCCCCAGTCCTATTAGAGGACAAGTTGCAGCATGAACTTGTCCGCAAGGAGATGGTGTGCCCTTCCACGTGCAAATCAAGGCAATGGTCGTGGGAATTCCTGGCAACTGGTTTCCACAGTCTTCTAATGGTAGGTCTACCCTCTCTTCATGCCTC